CTTTATTAGGTAGGAGGATGCAACGCATTGATGGTTGCTTAATGCTTTCCTCATAAACTCTAGTAGCTGGTTAAGTTTCTCTTGACACTATGCTATCTGCTTTCAAGCCTGTTGATCACTTTAATCAGCCATGTGACTTGGTAGTCAGTTCAGTGATACTATTTGCTTTCGTTTGTACTTAATTTATTTATTTCTAAGCTGATAGATTCTATTATATGATAACTTATGGATTGTTTTATCAGATTACGTATTCTTGAACTTACCGTATATGGCTTGTGAAGCTAGGTTTTGGACCACATGGACCAAGTAGGCTAGGTGCTGGATATGTTTGACTTGCTAATTGTGGGCCTGAAATTGAAGTAGGAATAATTATTATGCCCTTCAACTATGCTCAACTTGAATAATGTGTTCCGCCTTAGCTAAAATTCAAGCAGATTGTGGGAACACACATTTATTACTTTATATTTATACAATTTTGAAGAAAATTCAAATTAGTTAGCTATGCTTATGATTATTGAATAACATTGTTGCTTTAGCTAAAAATTTAAGCAGTCAATGAGAAAACATGTTTATTACTTTATATTTATCCTCAACATGTCCCTAACATCTAGGCCAAGTAACTTTTTTCTGATGGGCCAAAAACATAAATATTTTGGTCACAAGCAGCATGCAAGATTCATATCCATGGCCTTTTTCATGTTTTGGTATCATATAGAATGTTATGTTTTATCTTAACTAAAAGTTTATGGTTTTAGTGAGGATACACAAATATTATGCTATATTTATCCTCAACAATGATATTATGGAACATTTCTATGTTATCCTATCAGTTGTGTCACCTTTTTGAGGTTGAAGAGAGCCCTTAGAAAAGGTAAAACGTGAGAAAATTGTAGGATAGTCATGTTGCTTGGCTAGTTGGCTGTAAACTTATCAATATGATCTAGTTGAGAATTGCCTTGTACCCAAACATTTGCTGGTTGGCTGAACTTGTAGCTCATAGTTTAATTGGATTGGTTGGCCAATGTAGTAGCTCATAGTTTAGTTGGATTTTTCAGATGTATGTTCTCTTTTAGACTTCTTGTCTTTTGATTTCATAGAACTTGGTTGAAGATTTGCTTGTAGGACATAAAAAAAAAATGAAATTATGCAGTAGCTTCAATTTTCATAAGAGAACAACACCACTCATGATGTCAAATGTGCTAACTTCAATAGGTTAAAAGGAAAAGGAAATTTTTTATCACCTTCCCAAAGATTGAAAGCAAGCAGGGGAAATTGCAGGATTTGGATCAGTGGGATACACACACACTCATCTCTCTCTCTCTCTAATAAATCAACTTAGAAAAAAAATTAATACGACATTTGAAATTCCGTCTACATTAAATGTAAATTACATTTTGGTCTCTTGGAATATATATTGCGATTCTTTTTAATCACTTTTCTATTAAGTTTGACATTTTGACCCCACTAAATATAAATTTCACGTTTTTTAGTGGATTCACTCAACAATCTTAAACAACCTAAGAGTATACACGAGCACACATGTGCGCACATACACTATTATTTTCTTGAAATCCGTTGACCCCATCGGAAGTGTATTGCAGTTGCCCTTGAATTCAGGTTAGAGGCATGTAACCTTTATGCCACTGACAGTTTGACAAATCAGACTAGTGATATATGATTTTTCTTCTTTTACCACCACAGAAAAAATGTGCTATGACATGGGCTTTGTACAATCCTTAACTCAGTTCTACCATCCTTTGCTGAAAACGGAAACTGTATTTGCAATTTAGATTAAGATGATCTGAGTTCTTGACAAGTGTGATCAACCCAGCATTGGTTTTGTGTATTTGAACTGTGGATTAGCTTATAAAATTGTTTGGCGAAATATTGGAGAGGCAGATTGCTTAGTTTGGGTCAGACCATCATGCTCATTTTCCCTTGTCATTAGACTGACTTATGTGGAAATTCTATGCATTAGCACAAGCTAGTTTGCAGTGAATCTATGCAACCTAATGAATGGCATAAACAGATAGGCTGAATGTTTAACTGCACTGAAGCTATTCAAACATAAGCTATGTGACATTGTGGCCGCACATAGTTGTTGGCAGTTAGAGTTTGGATACACGATGTCAATTAATTGCCCAAAAGCTTGAGCCTAACACCAATGGTTCACACACAATTTCTACAAACTTATGGTAATTAGTTTTGGAGTGGTATCGCGTAGCCAGTAAGATTGGTGCATCTAATAATATCTCATGCTGTAAAGTATTAACTTTTTTTGTGGTGTTCTTTTTATTTCAGACAAAATCAAGCCTTCTGATGTCGGTCTTGAACAGGAGGCACAATCGGTACGAAGTTGGACTGGTACTGTGCGTGTGCGTAATGGAAATCTTCGGTCAATGCCAACTATCAAGTACCTGCATTTACATGAGTGTGATAGCTTTTCTGTAAGTGTTTCAAATCTTTTTTACTGGGTTTTTATTGATTTATTCTGTCACTGGAAGTGTGTTGAACACTTTTACAGATCGGAATATTCTGCATGCCTCCTTCCTCTGTCATTCCTCTTCATAACCATCCTGGGATGACAGTGTTAAGTAAGCTACTGTATGGTTCTTTATTAGTGAAAGCATACGATTGGATGGATGTACCAGGGCCTTCTGATCCATCTCAAGGTGTGTCATTTGAAGTGAATATTTTGCATCTGAAAGTTTTGAGTTGAACTACAGCACTATACTAATTGGTTCATGCTTGATCACCCCAGACTCTGGAACTTTTAGTTTCTAGTTCCATTGGCCATTTACTTCTCTTTGAATATTTGGATCTTTATTTATTTGATTTATTTCTTATGCAAAATTTTCTAGCAAATGTTTTTTGGAGGGGCATGAGAGTAGTTCTAAGAGTTGAGAATTCATCTTGAAGCTTGGCAAAACAGAAATTTGGAATTTAAAGCTAAGCATAATTATGGATAGCTGTATATGGACCTGATAGGTCCCTGGCTAGACAAATATGTCTATAATTTTTTATTTTATTTTTTTTTTTGCATTTTCACCGAAGTGGATGAATGAACTATGACTCACCTTGCATATAGTTTGGAGAATCAGATCTGTGATTGATTAATTCCATATTAGATGAGATGTGCAATGATGAAATGTACTCATCTAGTTTAGTTTAAGCAGCAAGTACATCCAGCTCTTTAGCATACCATCTAGATGGTCATGGCAAAGGAGTATTCATGTAACATATCTTGAAGAGTCATTACATGTAAAGTTAAAATTATAATTTTATAACCTGGGGGGTGTGGTTGAGTGGAAGGGACTCACCTATCCTTAACCAAAGGTCAAGAGTTTGATCCTTGGCTTTGGGTATGGAGCAGCCTAAAATCTCAAGGCCCGCTGCCCCCACCCAAAAGAGGTGCCTACAATCTAGCGAGGGGATTAGTCACTGTGTCCGACAGTAGAAACTCTGGGTACACCCCCCAAAAGAAAAATTTATGGCTTTTGATCATTGATATTACAGTTCTTTCTAGTATAACTGCAAAATATGTACAAGACTTGGTCTATACTTGTGCAAATTAGTTTGGTTAAAATTTGTTTGAAATGATACATCCTTAAAGGTAATTTAATCGAGTATAGACATAATTGTCATTATGACAGATTTTTTTATTCTTCTCATGTATGATGGCTTTTGGTACTCTCATTAATTGCTCTGTTACAAGTTCTTAATGCGTTTCAGGTGCAAGACCGGCAAGGGTTGTGAAAGATTGTGAGATGAGTGATCCATCTGGTACCACAATTCTTTATCCAAGCAATGGCGGCAATATTCATTGTTTTAAAGCGATTACCCCTTGTGCGTTTCTTGACATTCTCTCTCCACCATACTCTTCTAAGGATGGCCGGCATTGCACTTACTTCCGAAAGTCTCCCAAAGGGGATCTTCCAGGTAAACGGGACATTATGACATCATTTGTCAATCGTTATGTATCACACTCGTTTTAGCATTAAAATGTTGGTGCAATCTTTTCTTTACCTTGTAAAGGCGAGCTTGAGGTAGATGGAGTCACAATCTCAGAAGTGACCTGGTTGGAAGAGTTTCAGCCTCCCGATGACTTTGTAATTCGGAGAGCGCAGTACAAGGGGCGCGCCATTAAACCTTAGGCTTCATTTTGTTTTTGTCGAATCAGATTTTGGATACGTCGAGCACTTGTTCATTCGGGTATTGGTGATTGGTGAGGTTAATTATGGTATATGTCCCAATCAATGTGAGAATAATGAGACTTGTGGTAGTCTGAGAATAGGCATTTCATATGTACATATTTATTAATATACCAAAATACCATACATTAGTTTACTGCCCTCACCTTGGAACTAGTGGGCAGTTAGACACTATTATTTGAAAAGAAAAATTGCTCTCTGTTTTGTTCTCCCCAAAGCTCTGCTTTGCTTGTGAACTGCTACACATTAGCTGCACTTTTCATTTCAGCCTCATATCTTATTTTCAGGAGTCATAATTTGCCATCACCATATGTTAGTTGTTTTTTAATAAGAAAATATATTTATGATATAATATTTTTGTAACCATTTTTTTTGTTTTTTTATGGGAAAGCCTGCAACCGCTACCCGAATATGCGTTTTTGGCAAAACCAACCTTGTGACTGTAGTCAGCAAAGGATCACAAAGAGGTAAATTAGTCTAGGTTGTCCATAACTGATCGGTTCAAACCAAGAAGGTTAATAAACAACTCTTATATGGAGTCGAATTTGGAACCTTGTGGTTACCAAACCAATTGTTCGACCTACTCAGTAAAACATTTTACTTATATATGAGTTGATAACTATCTTGAAACTTTATAATAACATTAGCAAAACTTGTAGATCAACTAACCATTCCCAGTGTAAGATTCTATCAAAATCCTTTGTTCATCCATAAAGCAAGAAATAGTGGAATTATATTAACATATATAAACCCCCCACCCCCCCCCCCCCCCCCCCAACACAATCACCCAAAAGAAAAAGAAGTTGTTGGTTATTGAAGAAGAACTTTCATCCTGAATTGTCTCCTTCCATATCAGTTTCTATTCAGCCATCCAACATACTGCTTCAGCATCATCATTCTTGGCGCATATATAACACTTATTTGTTCATTGTAAGAGAAATGCATGTACTGTTTGTTCCAACAACATTGTAAATGTTTAACAATGGGGATCCCCAGATTGCACCACAGAACTTGGATTTTCTGACAGGTATGGCCTTAAAGGTGAAGTTTTAGTGGACAATGAAGGCAAGGTCCGGAAAAGCCATGAATCTGATGGAGATTTGGGCAAAGGTGGAGATGCTGGAACCTCCAAATGCATCATTCCCTGTGACTGTTTTAACTTTCTTGTTAAAGCTTCCTGCTTTATGGACCTTTCATCTTCTTCTTCACTGTCAGAAGAATCGAGAGAGGTGATTGTGAGCTCGTAACGCTTATCAGCTTCTCCATAATAATCCTTCACTGGATTCCTTCCTGATTCATACCCAGAAGTTAACATATCAAAGTTCACAGTTTCTTGAACAAAAGGCTTTGTTTTGTCTCTGAAAGAAAAATCCAGGATGGGTTTTTGTTGTGGTTTCATCTTTGTCACAGGAGAATCAAATCCCAGAACTGGAGATGAATCTTCTCGCGTTGAGCCACTGTGATCGGCCAGTAACTCCTGAAGTTTTCTGCTGAATTTTTTGCATACCCTCAATGCATCGAGCCTGGGATTAGCCCCGAATCCTTGTGTGGGAAGAACAGCTTTTATTTCATGTGTTTGAGGCGGTTCGCTATGGGCATAACGTTGTGATTTCTGCTTTGTTAAACCAGAAGTTGGTCGCTGTGAAAGGATAATCTGAACATGAGTGTAGAAAGGGAGAAAGGGGAAAAGACTAATGTGATGAAGAGAGGAAGGTTGAAGGTGAAGAAGTTACCTCATCGTTTAGTCCGGTGCATGAACGAGCAAACGAGTATCTCTGCCTGCTCCCGGGAGAGGTGTGCACCCGAGTTTTTACAGTCATTGCAGGCACAGGATTCAGGATGAAGATCGAGCTTCTCACACATAATCGAGGGACTACTCCACAGGCTTTAGCAGGGAATAAGGTTTCATGTTTGTGCTCGTCGTCTTCACAATCGTGAGATTGGTAACAATGCCATCCACCACTCGGCTCTAGCTGCAACCGAGGCCGCCTATCAGCCTTGGCCACATTCTTTCTCGTTCTTGGCTTCCCGGGAACATATAGAGGTGTTTCTGAAGCCATTGTCTTAGTTGCTGGCAGAAACAGACCAATCACGAAATCCCGAGTTTCTGAACTTGTTCTGTCTGGTTCTTCATCCGAGCCCTTAAAACTCCCCGCTTTACAATCTACAAACAACACCTTAGATTTCGAACTCTCTGCATACCCTTCATCATCATTCTCTGCCTCAGATATCTCACACTCCTCCTCACTATTATCAAAGCATTGATAGTTAGTTTTAGCCACTCTCCCATGGGGAAGCCTTGGAACAACACGAACCCTCCCCGTGGTATTATTATTTTGCGGTTTTACTCTATCCTTTGGCTTTCCCGGGCTCTCTTCCCAGACGAACGGCACAACTCCTGGGCTCCTCACGGGATCCAGCTTGGATTCTGATCTGTAAAGAACAGGCTGAGGAACAGTATGGAGGGAAGAATCATCAATCTTTCTCTTGTCATCTTTCCCCGATGATCGTCTTACTGACAGAATTGGTTGGTTAAGTTTTAGTTTCTTCTCGTCCTGATTCTTGCGCACCATGTTATTAGCTTATGCCTGTGAACAAACAAGAACAACAGATCACAACAGCCCCTCTAAATATCATCTCAGAAAACAATTCCAGAAGCTTCAAGATTCAAACTTTATGCAATTCAGCTAAATAATACACTGTTTACTAATTACCCATCATCATAATTCATAAACCCAACAAAGCAACATATGAGAAAAGACAAACAAGAATCCTACAGAAATTACCTTTGATAAATGGAGGAACTTGGGATTCAAGACTGATATTCTGGGTTGATTTGAGATGCATTTTACCAAAGAAAACCCCCATATATATATAAAAAAATGGCTGCAAAACATTTCCAGAACAGGAAAATTAAAGAAAACCCTTAAAGACAGAAACTTTGGCCAAGGAAAAGGAAGAGAAGATGGCTAAAGAATAACCCAGTCACCAGGTTTATACATGCACTTGGGATTTCTTGAGAGTGAATTAAGAGCATTAGCCCCTCAGTTTTAGATAGCTTCCATTAATGGAAACCTCCATTTTAATCAATTCTTTAAACTAAAACTGGAATCTTGTATCTTATAAGCTGTACGGCTATAGAAACAGAACCTTTGTACAACTGTATAAGTGCACAACCAGTAATTGAATTCATAGGATTTCCACTAAAGATTTTATCATCCTGTCATAACTCTAATCTTAAACATCTAATGTAGCTGCAAAGACTCAAATGATTGGATACAACAAATCTTAAAACTTAAGGATTACATTCTGCTAATCAGTGGTATTTATTTCCATACCTTAACTGTGATGCAAGGAAGGTTGTAGGCTTGTGGGGGCAAAAATTTTGTGAGTTTGGGCAAAAATGCTCTCGTTGAGAGTCGAACTCAAGACCTCCCGCTTACTAAACGGGTGCTCTAACCAACTGAGCTACGAGAGCTTGTTGTTTTGATTCCTTTATATATCTATATGTTATCTAATATTTGAAGTCTTCTTCATTTATTGTGGAAATACTTATATGCACTAATGCCACCCTATTAATGATGCTTACATTATAAGATATGGGCTTGGTTGATAAATGATGGATCCGCTAAAATTTTGACAGATACGTCTTTTTGACGTTTGATCATGTCAAAACGTCAAAATTTTCATTTGATAATTCAACGGTTTTCTCCAAACCGTTGAAATCCGAAACGTTGCAATAAATTTTTATATAATGTTTGATGGGCAAGTTTAATTGTTGTGTTGTTGAGAGAATGGTGAACCGGGAAAATAGCGTTGGCTCAAACCGTCAAGGCGCGATTCTGAAATGTTGGGCAAGGTACGTGAAAGACCGAGAAAAAAGTCCTAGTATGCATGGGAATAGGATAGGGGCAAGCAAAATTAGGGTATACTTCTACATTCTAATCTAACGATAGTATCGGTTTAACAATTCTGTCAATCCTGATTGGGTGGAACTCAAAAACATTCGAACAAAATGAACTAATTGAAATAGATGGTAGTTTCTTCTCGGCTGCAATAACAACACCATTTGAAGCTGCAATCAATCGGGTAGATCATAGATGTGTGAGGTCATTGTGTATTACCAACAATGGTAATGAACTAATGATGTTTTGTTGCATAGAACAGCAATTATAATCTATAATCTACAATCTACATCTACAATCTATCTATCTACAATCTACATCTACATCTACATCTACAATTCTAATAAGAGCCAATAATGTTAGGCCCTTTGGAACAAAAAAAATGTCGGTCCTATTGTTTCTTAAAATGAATGGTTCATATTATACTATTGCTTCTTAAAATGAATGGTTCATATTATTTTTATTTTAGTATTTTTTATTAATTTTCCTTATTTACCCTCTATTATATTATTTTCTTTCCTTAAATAACCTAAATTCCGTTAGCATAAACTTTAGTAACGGAATATTCCGTTAAGTATTTATTATTTTAACTTACACATTAATTTCTATAAGAAAAGTCTCAGTTTCGAACCACATCCCAATTAATAATTGTTAAACATATACTACGAATATGTTAAAATATATTTAAAATATATATAATATAAAATTTAACATAAACTTTGTTCAAATAATTAGTCTGCCTAAATACATAACATTCAAAGTTAAGCATCAAAGATTATAAATCAAGAACTTTAAAAATCATTTGATCAGAAAAAAAACTTAATATTCTTTTGATTATTTAGATCAGAAAAAAACTTAATATTTCAATTATACTTTTGCATTAATATTTTTTGTATGTATTTAAAAAAAAAAATCAATGATTGCATTATTGTTGATGAAAAGTATATACGCCACTTTATTACTCTTATTAAAATAAAATAAAGTAGTAGCTACAACAACAAAATAATACATATGCATTTAATTATAATTTAGAATTAGATGTCTATAATGCCTTTATTTTTAAAACAAAAAATTATTCATTATAAAAATTTTAAAAATAGATATAATTTCATTAGTTATATTATCTTTATTTTCCACAATTCAAAGATTCATTACCTTCAAATTTATCAATTTATTATATTCACTGCATGGTCCATTGTCTTCTTTTTACATTATCTTGTAATTAAATATCAAAGTTATAATACAAAATACATTATATATATTTATTTACCAAGTATTTTATACAAATATAATAAATATTAATATTTTATTCAATACTTTCACATGATAACCTACGACACACATCTCACAATGCATGAAACATGTAGGGGAAAACTACCACTACCAAATATCGATTAGAAAATTCAATAAATATTATCTTGCATTTATATATTTTGAATTACCGATTTAAATAAACAAATTCAATATTTATTTACATATGCATGAACATCTCCGATATAATATTGCGTTGATATACTGTGAAATACTTATTTAAAAATAATCATTGGGCATTATCCCATTCGCGCAAAGCGCGTAAAAAAACTAGTATTATAATAAGGTTACACCATTACCCATTTACCCTAACAAAGTCTATCAAAGAGTATTAACCACATCCTTAAGAGAGATCGGGAGTTCGAGTCCCCTCTTGTATGGAAAAACCAATCTGGCCAGCACTTTGCCCCTTAATTGGATTGGCCCGGTGCGAACGGGGATTAGTCTTAGTATGGTACGGGCTTAAAGGTACCTCCTACATTTAGGACCTGTTTAGGACACCTCGTGGTCTGACAAAAAATGAGTATTAACCACAATCTTGGCTCTCGACAAATTTTCCAATTGTCAAAAACACTAAATATCTACTAGTGGTCTTAGTATATAATATATTCATAAAACAATGCAAAATTTTCAAATATCTACTAATTATCCATCCAAATAAATCCCCATTGGCCATTGCTAGTTTGGTCTTGAATTACCTTTTATCCCTAGTGATGTTTGACCAGAACCAACAGCTGTCAATGAATGAAAGAAACACGCAGATTTAAATAGTCAGAACTACAAGTCAGCCACTAATATCAAGCAACAACCTTACAAGCTCATCTTTGATCTGCAAATCTATCATTACACCAGATCCCAGAATTTTCAATAAATTTCAATAATTACATATCAAGATCATAGCTTTCAGCAGAAAGACAACACAAAACAACAACCCAAAGTTTCATGCAACGGATTATAACACGATGGGACCAAGTCACCAGAGTCCACCTTGCAAGGTGGATCCAGATTCAAAATACACAATTTACATATTGAATGTTCACAATTGAATTATCCCAATTTAGGCCTCCAACCTACCCTACGGCGGGCCGATCTCTGCTTTGGGGTAACGGTGATGAGTTATACAAGTTAGTCCCTAAGTTACAAATCAACCCATATAACTTATATATTTCACAAAGCTAAATGGGCCGAATTGAACTAGAGAAATCTCCAACCCAATCCATCTAAAAATCGAGCTAAACGAGTCCAACTCATCATACGTATCCAACCCGTTCAGTTGGTCCCATTTTGACAGCTCTAGGAGAGACCGAATGCACTTAACAACACATTCTTGCAAGAGGGGATGGAGCAATGAAAATGGATAATCTTGCAATGAATTACATCAACATACAACTTTATGGTCTGAATATTTCATGTTTCTAATTATGTTCTTCACCTATACATTTTGATAAATAAACAATGTAGCTATACATTTCGATAAATAAACATTGTAGCATTCTCAGATCCCCCAAACTCGACGATTTCTTTGAGGAGACAATAGAGATGTCAACTCAGATTCCCCATTTTGCAGAATCCTAAAACTTCTGCCTTCTGAAAAATGCAGCAACAGGAAAAATGAAACAAATTAAAAGCATGAATGATTTTCTTAATCCTAATAATTAACATCGTATAACTCTCACTTCGGTTTAGGGTGTGTGTGTTTCATTATATATCTAACTCTCCTAGTAATAAAGTTAACGTTCATACCCATTGACCATCGAGTTCATTGGATGTGTCCCAAACCGTGCGGAATAGTTATACTTCAGTCTTGGGTCCAGTAACCGTCAACGCTTCCTCAATGGCTTGGACAAAAGTCGCAATCTTGTATGTGAAAAACCCAACGAGCATTGGTATCAATTCAAGGTGCATTAGTCCATATTCGGGCACTACAATCCTTCGCAAAAGGACATCATATCGAGTCAGAATGGGAAGAAAAATACACTCAGTATAATACCCAAACATCATGTATGCCTGCTAAAATGAGATCTCTAAATGAAGTTTAGTATGCAATCAATTTTAATTGGTATCTCCGTTATGAAGATTAATTACGGTAGCAAAAAACCTTACCCGTTCCATCGGTTATAGAGCATGACCAGAACAACAGGAACCAATAGTCTCGGCTGCCCAACAGCTCCTCTAGAAGGATAAAAATATCCAGTAAGTAACACAAAGTGGACCAAACAGGCTCTGATACCATGTTAGAAATTAAGATTGGGCTATGGTCACTCGAATGGGCTATAATGCACATGGACTAAACCACACTAAAAAGATTGAATCCAACCAATTAGCTAGTCTAACCCATAGCCTTATAACCCCTATTTTCTCTTATTTTATCAATGTGGGACTCTTAAAAAACCCAAAGTATTCTACCCTCTAGGTCCTTTATAAGAATGTAAAAGAAAACGTACTTTATAAGCGCTCTAGGTCCTTCTGTTTGTATGGAATCCACACTGTTTCCAAGCATGCGCATATACGCCAAAGAACCAAGCAGCCCAGCACCATAGCTGTACTCGATGACAAAATAACATTTACTTTGAGTTGCACTAATTTTTAAAAGCCCGTCATCTTTTGTTGGAACTAGGAACACAAACAACCGAAAGACAAAACAAATGCAAAGGAATCTACCTCGCTGCAATTTCAGGAGAATAAGAAACATATGCTGATATCAGACCAAAACCGCCAATGCCTAAGGTGAGCAGCTGCATTTTTTCTTTCAACTGCACCAAAACGGCAAAACATACTCCATGTATATTAAGAGGAAATAAAAGAAAAGAAAAACTCTAAACAATGAAATAGCAGATTTCTACAAAGGCCATTACGCCATAAAGAGAATGAAAATCAGAATATACCTTAAGATACTGCTCAGCAGACTGGGCCGCCAATACTTTGGGGTCCCCTTTTGATCGCCTCACCTCTCTGAACATCACATCCTGGGAGATAGATACAGAAATTCAGTCGATCTCAATAAACAGATTGGTGCTTTTTCATAACCCAATAGAGAAATTTGAGCAAAATTGTGAGATTTTTGAAGCAATGACATACACTGCCACCCGTGGCTGCCTTGGTAGCTTTCTCCCACTTCTCTTGCTCGCGCTTTGTTGGAGCCGGTCTCCATTTCCGAGACGTGCCTTTGCTAGTCTGCAAATCATTTCATTTCGAACAATGAAAGCCAAAGAGGGTGTAAATAACTTCAAACAAAGATCTTATCATACTCGAGTTTCCTCAGCTTTTTCTTCTAGGAAAGGTCTCGAAGGTGCTGCAAGTTCCTTGCTCAAATCAACTTCCATGCTAAAATCTCAAAACCGAACGATGTTAGCAGGAGAACGAATCATAATAAGCACCGAAAATCTAAAGAAAAACAGCAAAAGATCACACCTGTCAAGGCTCATGACCCGGTTTATACTTAGAAATCCAGATTCCTCTTCCTGTTTTGAAACCCAGCAACAAATATATGAACATATTAAGACTATACCTTTAAGACTCAATAAAGCATAATAATCTGATAAAAGATAACAGTATAGTTGATTGGCAACCACAAAATGCACCAACATAAAAGACTAATAAAAATGGTAAATAATCAACAAAAAAGTATGAAACTCAAAACCCAATGACCAATTGCCAAGAAAATTATATTAAATAACAGCAAAAATGAAAAAGATTAGAGCTTTACTCAAAATGCAATGACCAATTGGGAAGAAAATTAAAAGTGAAAAAGATTAAACCTTTGGAGGAGCAGAGGGGGGATTAGAAGCAGTTTGAGCAGGGTCCTGAATGAGCTTCTTCATACGGTCCATGAATTCTTTGTTCCATATAAAATCATCGGAGGTGAGAGGGTCCTCATCGCCGCCCCAGTACTTGCGGAGCTTGGTGGTGGTGGGTGGGCCGCCGTACTCCCCCGGTGCCACCCCGGTGGACCATTTCATTGGCTTCTTCTTTGGCAGTACAATTTTGGTCGGCCTTGGCTGCGACGGTGCCTCGCCTGAGTCTTGAGATATGGGCGTAGACGCGGCGGCGGTCACCGTCAGGTAGCAGTTCAATACCACCATTCTCTCTCTCTCTATCTCTCTCTCTCTCTCTCTCTCTCTCTGTTATTTGCGTGGAGAGAAATGGAGATGACGGAAAATATCCTGGTGGGTTCTCAGTACAAAGCGATTGAAGTTGCAATACGACATCGTTTTCCTTGTTTATGTGAAACCCCAGTGGATTTTTTGGGGGACTACCAAACAATGTACTATCTTTCATAATTATTGTCTCAACCTATTAAAGCACAAAGAGTTAATATTGTCTAGGATCTCTTAATTTCGACTATATCATCAGTCTCTTGTCTTTTTTTTCAACTATGTCTTCAATCTCGATCAGACAGATTATTACTTGTCTTTTTTCATGATTAGACAGATTATTAGGACTATACATCGTTTCTTATGATCCAATTCTACCAACTCAATCCAAATTATTGGGTTTGGTTTCTTACATGAACAAACAAATATAGGTATGTTTTAGACACGCGTTTCATAGTCAAACATGTATGTTTATTTTAAACACTATAACTTAAGCATTGATTCGCAAACTGTATCTCTTAAAAGGTTAGAAGTAATTAAGGACATAGCGGTCTAATTACATAAATAGAAAGTATTAACACCCAAACAGACATATGAGATTGAATTTTTTGACCAAAATTCTAACAAATTAAAGAGATGACTTGCATGTAAAGTTGAAATCAGAATTATATTAGCAATATTAATACACAGAAAAGCCTTAGGTGATTCAAGAATGTAAACAATGTTATATGCATTTAGATCTAGACTAGTACAGAGAGTATCGACATTGCATACAAAATTGAGGATGAACAAAGGTCTTAGATCGAACTACGTTAGAACGATGAATCTTGTGAGTATCTGTTTGGATTCTACAGATTTGGTGACATATATATACTAGATTCTGTTACGTGTACATAAAGATTCCTAAATCAAGAAAGGCTTAGGGTTTAGGTTTGGGTTAGAACCCAGGCGTGATGAACCCAATCAAGATGGACTCTGATCCGGTCTTTGTGATAAAGAATCTCGTCGCCGGTGGTCTCAAAGAAGACATAATAACGGTTCCCGATTTTTCCGTTGATCTTGCCCACCCACCAACCGTCATTGTCGAAGGCGTCCACTTCCTCGTACATGTCGAAGAGGTCGGCCTTCACTTGCGGCGGCTGCGGCCGGATTTCGGCGCCGGGAACCGCCTCCGTCAGCGGCCCGGAAAAGTCGTCCTTCACCAGCGTCTTGTACTGGACTACGTAGCCCTTGCCGCCCGGAATCTCCTCCACCACCGTCGCCTCGTAGTAGGATCCCACGAAGCCTTCCTCGTTGCTCGCCACCTCCACCGTGTCGCCCCTCCGGTACCCCACCGTCTGTAGAGTCCTCATGGTTCTTGATTTTCCGGGAGAAACCGATTGTGAGAGAGAGAGAGAGAGAGAGAGAGATTACAGTTACGTAATACGCTTGAGGATTTTTATATAGGAAAAAGAAAAAGGGAAATCCGGTTCAGAATGAATAGGAAAACAATTCTAAGTATTATTTATTTTTTAAAAGTTTTTTTTTTTTTAAGTATTTATTTTTTTTGTAATAAAAATTAGGAATCATTGTTCCCACTTCTCTAGTAGTATCCTCACCGTGGGCAGAACACAGATTACATGCCCATATAAAACACAAAAAGATATTTAGTAAATAGAGCGGATTGAGTTTAGTAGATTTAATTAGTTGATAGAATATTAAGGATCTTGTTGTTCATTTATATCATGTTGCTTTCTTAGATAGGAGATGTTGGGTTCGAGTCTCAGTCTCTTTTAATAAAAAAAAAAATAAAATTAGATGACAACATTAATTGATGGTAAAAATATATTTAATTGATTATATTAAAAGTTACTTTAGGTAATTTTTTGAATTTTAATATTTGAGAGTACAAAAAATTAATTAATTAATTACATATATTAATTTTTTAACACAATTAATAGTGACTAAATAAGTCAAAATTAACTGATAAACTAACTATATTATTAAACAAATAAAAAAAAATTGGGTTTATATAGTACCGACCATTATTTTTGACTTCTTTTCTTGCTGAACACTCCCCAATGTTTAAGAGATAGAACAAGGATTATATATTACATTGGCTGAAAAAAAAATGTTTAGATTTTTTTCTAACAACTTTTCAGTTAAGCCTATTGTATCGTATTTTTAATATAGTATCATGCTTGTATGTTTAGGGATATGCAAACTTCACTGAAAATTTAGTTAATCGACCGAATCAAAGAATTTTGATTAACCATTAATTAAAATATTTCAATTCGATTAATAATTAGAGATTTTGTAATTTTAATTGACGGTTAATTCAGTTCAAAATTATCATTTAATTGAAATTTTAAATACATAAATAAATATATAATGTACAGTCCCTAAAACTAAAATGAAATATCTATGGACTATGGAGTATGGATGTTTAATTGGCCTTTGGATTTTGTATTGAAGTTATGAATTTATTATTATAGGTATTGAAGTAGTTGGATTTATTATTATATATTTTATTTTAATTAATTAATAATAGAATATTGACATATTTGATGAATAATAATATGTAAATATAAATAATACGGAGTAGCAAACAGTCTTGACGTTCAGGCCAACGAATATTGGAACATTTATTTTTAAGGAGGCGCGCAAATTATGTCGTGGAAACGTGTTCATCATGCTTTGTGAACACGTTTTAAAATAGCGTCGTTTTTACGGGAAAAAATTAGTTAATGTGTTGTTAACGGCGTTTTGCATTCTATGTTCAGATTATGAATTTATATTTATTAAATTATGAATTTTATGTTATAAGATTATGAATTTTCTGTTATGAGATTATGAATTTGCAGTTACGTAATTATGAATTTTCTGTAAATTCATAATATCATAACAAAAAATTCATAATCTCATAACAAAATTTTTTTTTAAAGTTCGGACGGTGTCGTTTTTAGCCGTTTTGCAACCGTGTGCACCATGCATGGTGCACACGGTTGCACGGCATAATTTGCGATGAAGGCGGCAAATTTTATCACGGTTGCACGGCATAATTTGCGATGAAGGCGGCAAATTTTATCATGGATCAATGGATCATGATCCATGTAGTAATGTGATTTATAAAGTAAGTGTCATTCTAATTACATTTTAATTCCATTTGATAATATTGCTCTTTTTCAGTTTCATTTTTCACACTCGCTAGTTTTATTATAGCAATATCAAAGTATCATTTAATTATACTATATTTTCATTTTACAATATATATTATTGTATGAGTTCTATTTTGTAGTTTCATTTTCTACACACATTAGTTTAATTATAATAATGTTAAAGTATTGTTTTAATTACACTTTCATTTGACAATATATGTTATTGCATAGTTCTGAATTTTAGTTTCAGTTTCCACACACACTAATTTCATTTTAACAATATTAAATTATCATTTTAATTATATTACAATATCATTTGACAATATATGTTATTCAATAAGCTCTATTTTTTAGTTTCATTTTTTATACACACTAATTTCATTTTAACAACACTAAAGTATCATTTTAAACATATGCATATGTCGATATCTCGTTTGACAATATAATAAAGACTTGGATGTTCAGTACAGTTATTAGCCGTCAAACTGTTTATATCACATGCCTATTCAGAAGTGGCTCAAATCAACGAGACAACTGAAGAGACATTTCACATGCCATTTATCAACCCGAGCAAGATCGGTCTCAAAACCTACGAAGTTAGTAAAGACATTACAATCACAATATACACCAACTATCTTCACCCTCTTCAAAAATAAACAATACCAACATATACAAATTTTTTTATATACTAATAATAAATGAGGATGTCTCAACTGAAATCGCAACCATTAAATGGCGACATGGGAAATTTGTCCAATCGTACATGGGCGGAGTCTACACGAATGTTGGGTAGTTGGTTAGCTTGCAGGTAGTTGCAGCAAAGGGGGGTCAATCTCAAAGAGATGAGAAGTTAAGGGGGCGAAATCGAAATTATTCGCAATTCTTTCATCCGAAATTACGCCAAAATCAATTACCGGGGTCCACTCTCCCGACCGCTCAAAAAACAGTCGCCGAGTAAACACATCGTCAGTCGTCACGCTTCAGTGCCAGCGCAGCTAAAAAGGTAGAGAGAGAAAGTGTAAAGTCTCACTCGTCGGCCGGCGGCAACAACACGCGTCTGAGTTTGATCGGCGATGGCTTCCTCCTCCGAGCGCGAGAACTTCGTCTACGTCGCCAAGCTCGCCGAGCAAGCGGAACGCTACGACGGTTAGGGTTTCTTATTCCCCTCCTATTTTGTATTTTCCCTCTCGATCTTTAAGCACATTTGGAGATCTCAATTTAGGGTATTATTTAGTAGAGGTTTATTACTTAATTACTTAATTCTGCTGAAATTTTGTTTGATTGCTCCAATAATTCTGTATCTAAGTAGCAGAAAGATCTTATAAGTGTGAATACTGACTAGTATCTTGAGATCCAGTCCTGTTTTGTTTGAATTACCATAAAAAAGTTGGTTCTTTTTGGAAGTCAAAATTGGTCTCTTTTTCCTCACTGAGTATATGTTGGGAAATTGGAATTGGACTGGGAATCTAACCCCAAGATGCTATTTTTGCTACTCAATTATGGCAGAGATGGTGGATGCGATGAAGAGTGTGGCGAAAATTGGAGTGGAATTGACGGTGGAGGAGAGGAATCTGCTGTCAGTTGGGTACAAGAATGTGGTGGGAGCCCGGAGGGCGTCGTGGAGGATCTTGTCCTCGATTGAGCAGAAGGAAGAGTCGAGAGGGAACGAGCAGAATGTGAAGAGGATAAAGGAGTACAGGCAGAAGGTGGAGACGGAGCTCTCCGACATTTGTGCTGATATTATGACTGTGATTGATGAGCATCTTATTCCCGCATCCACTGCTGGGGAATCCACTGTGTTTTACTACAAGATGTGAGGGGTTCAGGGCTCGGGGCTATGGCTTAATGTTATGTCTTTTGCTGTTCATAGGCTTTGGGTTTTTAATTTTTGTTTGTTTGATTTACTTTTTGGTTGCAGGAAAGGGGATTATTATCGGTACCTTGCTGAGTTCAAAACTGGTAACGACAAGAAAGAGGTTGCTGATCTTTCTCTGAAAGCATATGAGGTATAAATGCTTATCTGTTATTCATCTTTCTATGTTTGAACAAAAAGAAAGGTCTACGGTTCAATGATTTTTCATATTTTGCTTGCCAAGGGCATTTTTGTGGTTTGACTTTGAACTCTGAACTCAGATATGTGCTCATTATTCCTCTAATTTCTTGTAGACGGCTACCAGTACGGCAGAAGCTGAGTTATCACCTACACATCCCATTCGCTTGGGATTGGCTTTGAATTTCTCTGTTTTCTACTACGAGATCATGAACTCTCCTGAAAGGTGTCCGCTTTTCTCAATTCTCATCTTGAGCACAATACTTTTGAGCAATCGAACTTGAATCTGTCTCCTTGAGCATAATTGCTCTGAACCCTGTTCTTGATCTCATTTTTTTTTTTATAAAAAATTCAGGGCTTGTCACCTTGCAAAGCAGGCTTTTGATGACGCAATTTCTGAACTGGATACCTTGAACGAGGATTCCTACAAAGACAGTACCTTGATAATGCAGCTTCTCAGGGACAATCTCACTTTGTGGACTTCTGATATCCCGGAGGATGCAGGTATATGTGATCGTTTTTCTCAACTGTTTCTTAAATATTTTGTTTATCTCACAATGCCTTGTACCTTTGAGTCTCATTACAATTTATGGTTCACAATTTTGACAGAAGACGCTCACAAGGGGGATGCTCAGAACAAAGCTGGAGGCGAGGATGCAGAGGTGGGTTGTCCTATTTTTTGTGCGTTGTAAAATTTCTAATTCAGACAGAAAATCTTACCAATCGAAAACACATTTATTCCCATGTGTGTGCAGTGAACGATGGAGACAATTGATACCACCTCCCATGTGTATTTGGAGAAAAGAGAGGATGCGTATTCATGTGGGGACATGTTTGTTTCTTAAAATTGTTATAGATACTGATTGTCGGTGTATCTTGTTATAGCTTGCTTTCATCTTTTTTTTTTTTTTTTTAATTTGGAAGTCGACATGTGGTTTGATTTGCATCACCATGCCTTTTCCTCCTCTCTCCATATAGTTGAATGGCTTTAGCCTTTAGAAGAAGATTGGTTCTGTCTGTAGGTGGTTTTGTTTTTCAGGTTACTGCCCAGCAGTCTAAATATGTTCCTTCCTTTCATCCTTTCTAATTCTCTCTTGTGATTTCAATAATGACCTGCAGAACCCTTGACTACATGGCTCTGCATTACATCATTGTGTTCTTAAGTCTTAACAATCATTTATATTCACTCTAGCTGTGTATCTTTGAGCAAAATTAAATGCAGAAGCAGATTGTTCTATAATGCTATGTAGATATGGCTGAAACATGAAAAACGCAATTTAAGTTGGAGTAAACTAACCTGCTTTTTAGCGTTTATACTGCTAAGGGCATCTCCTTCTTCCTTGCATCAACCGAGTCCTAGGGTTCCCGCAGTCACTGATGAGCATGAACCTGAATTCTCGCCCCTGAGTTCACCACTGCTGTCATTTCCGGCCAGTCAACTGTCGATAGTATCAGTAGTATGTGAAGCTATGGAGTCACCGGTACTTGAGAGTTTTTGCTTCTTTTGCCTTCCCCTTCCCTTGTTGGGTGGAGGTGGAGCAGGAGCTTTAGATCTCTGGAATTGGACTTGGGAGGAGGTGCGGTTGACTCCATTGAAGGTGTGGAGTGACGTCACACAGCACTCCTGCCATTTGAGATCATCAAGGTCTTTGATCACCTCTTCCACAGTCAAATGCACATGAGATGATACGCCGTCGTCTTGCAGCGTTGAGCGCCCAGGGTTCATCAGCTCCAATGAATCCACAGCCTCCAACACAAGTTTCTGGTAGAGTATACATAATTTGCAGGAAAAATTTACAGAAAAGAAAAAAACAAATATGAACTCGATCGGATTCATAGGAGTAAATATAGACTCTGTATCTACCTTGGGAGTTTTGCTCATCTTTCCGAAGCCATGCATATCAATAATCTGTATTGTAGAATCAATAAATTCGAAAATTATAATATAACAAATTGAATTCTACAATGTTGCTCATGTTCATCGCAAAATCATTTTCAATGCTTCAATCAGACAGAAAAATTTACAACAATTTTCCAGAACAAATATTCTCAATTTGAATTTCACACTAATTAATAATCAAGGAAGCGCTTGAATCGTATCAAGCATCCATATACATACAATTATAAATAAAAATACAATTACTGAATATCTGGAATCTATAGAAGGAAGGAGAATGACCTCTCTGAGATGATCGGCGGAAAGTTCGAGCTCCTTGTGACTATCGATGAAATTTAGGTACTCCTCCACCGTCAATTTGCCTCTCGCTCTGCGTGATCCGCCTCCCTTCACCGTCTCGACGATTCCAGCATCCGCCATAGCTATATACTCTACGAACTCGTTGCTGCACTGAGAGTTCCCGCGCTAGTAGTACTACAATGTACAATACTGCAACGACACTCGTATATATATATCCGAGTAAATACCAGCGGAGGTCCTCTGACTTTGGTGGCACTGTCACTTTTAGTCCTCAACTTTTAAATCAACCACTCTTAGTCCTCTTACCTTTTGTTTCTAGCCATCTATGGTCCTTCCGTTAAACTTGACCATCTAATGCCGTTTTCTCAAGGATAATTCAGTCCTTTCATAATTAATTTATTAATTATTATGTTTGCCGAGTCATACCGAGATATCCCGACGTTGTTTTGGCACAACCTTCGTACCAGCTTTTGTACGCCATTTTGATTCATGAGCTGGTTTTGTACACGTTCATAGCTGGGAAACCATTGTTTGACTATTCTGATGAGGAAATTAAACATAATAATTAATAAATTAATTATGAAAGGACTGAATTATCTTTTAGAAAATGGCATTAGAGGGTCAAGTTTAACGAAAGTATCATAGATGGCTAGAAACAAAAAGTAAGAGGACTAAAAGTGGTTGATTTAAAAGTTGAGGACTAAAAGTGGCAGTGCCACCAAAGTCAGAGGACCTCCGCTGCTATTTACTCATATATATCCACAACGGATCACGCGAGATCCCAATTCAAATTTTATGTATTTCTGTTTTTACCCATGAGATCCCAATTTCAAATTTCAACCGCAACCAAAATTTATATATTTTTATTTTACACCCTATCGACTATCGTCAAGTCGAGTTGCTCACAAACTACTCGCACAGTTGACAGCTTAGGCGGAAGGTGAAGAAGGCCCTGGCCCGAGCCATAACCAAAATTTATATATTTTTATTTTACACCCTATCGACTATCGTCAAGTCGAGTTGCTCACAAACTACTCGCACAGTTGACAGCTTAGGCGGGAGGTGAAGAAGGCCCTGGCCCAAGCCATCAGCGAGATACCACTCTGGAATGGCTAGAATTCTAACTGAATGTCGACTCCTTTTACAAAGCTCCAACCAACCTTCCCGACTAAGCATCTTTACAGTCCGGCTTAATTACTATCGTAAGTCGAGTTGCTGCTCACAAACTACGAGCCCGTACTCGCACAGTTGACTGAGTGTCAACTCCTGTTACAGAGTTTCAATCAACCTTCCCGACTAAACATCTTTCACACACCCCTTTAGTTGACTGAGTGTCAACTCCTGTTACAGAGTTCCAATCAACCTTCCCGACTAAGCATCTTTCACACACCCCTTTTATAAAGAGGCGCGGTTGACAGTCCAGCTTGCTTACTATTGTCAAGTCGAGTACAACCCTTTTATAAAGAGGCGCAATTGACAGTCCGACTTGCTTACTATTGTCAAGTCGAGTACAACCCTTTTATAAAGAGGCGCGATTGAGAGTCCAACTTACTTACTATTGTCAAGTCAAGTTGCTCACAAACTACTCGCACAATTGACCGAGTGTCAACTCCTGCTATAGAGCTCCAACCAACCTTCCCGACTAGGCATCTTTCACACACCCCTTTTACAAGGAGGCGCCGATTGACAGTCCGGCTCATTGAGTAATCAAGCCGAGATCATTATTTGGTGTGTTCTATGCTTGAAGCATTATAAACTTGCTATGTTACAAAAAATCTCAAGGCCACAGAATTCATGTAATAAAACAGTCCAGAGCAAGATTATTTATTACTGATAATAGCAAAACTAAAGTCTGATAATAGCAAACATTGTTCATGTTCAAGCAGGGGATAAGTACGATTGTATAATAACAACCTAAAAGACAATAGTTCCGACTCAAACTTTACTCACGAATCTAGCTCGCTAAGGTGGCGGTTGGGGTCTTCGAAGACCTCAGTTGCTGGACTGCCGCAATTCTGGACGCACAAAATCAGCATCTTGGCCATCTTGGGGCACTGAGATATCGACGGAGGGTCTCAACTGGGCGCACACTTCGATTGCTCCATGTACGGGGTCTGAGAGGAAGTTACCGATGAGGTCCCTGTTGATAGGAGTACCATTGTCGACGGCAACAAGTGCTTGCTGGGTGAGAATGTAGTCGAATCTAGGCGCCCACTTCCTTGATCCAAGACGTGCTGTTGTGGAACAATTGTCGACCATGAATGAGACCCCACGTGCATGCATGAATGGGTTTAGTGAATCCACAGACTCGATCACACTCTCGTTTATGATCTCAGAGTACGAATGCCCTTTCTTCCTCAGAACCTCAATCTGAAAGAGCCACAAACGAACAAAAATTAAACCGTGCCACAAATTACCCATTAGTATTACCGACTCTATTACAATGCAGTATCTGTTCATAACTACTTTCTCAATCTACTAAAGCACAAAGAGTCAATACCGCCTCTACTGAGGCTCGAACCCAAAATCTCCCATATGGGAGAAAAACTTGGTGCCACTAGAGCACAAGGTCCTCGGCAAGCTAGCCAAATGATGAAGAACAGAACTTACCTGAGCCATCATAAGTGCCACGTATACACCTGCGGTGAAAGGATACAAAGGACCAAGGTCACCGGCTGGTCGAACTGATCGTACACGCTGACCAACTTTCCACATCCTCGTCTGGTCAATTTTACCCATTGGGAAAGCTGGCAGACCCTCCTTTTCCTGGACGATTAACCCAATATAGTAAGAAATACGACCATGACAAATAAGAATTCACTTCGTACTCCTAGGAACATACGAGCCGCCAAAAGTAAAGCAAAAAATGGCAGAACCAACTTACATAGAAGCGACGTCCAGCAAGAACAACGCTCCGGATTTCACTGCCAGCAGCTACATCTTCATAGCACTCATACAAGATGTCCATGCAAGGGTAATACGAAGCACTGTATGCAGCTTCAAATGCCTTCTTTCCATCCTCGGTCAATGAATTGTACACAGCCAACATGCCCTATCGAGAAAGAGGGAAAATAGAAAAATAAGAGAAAAATACACAAAAGCAAATTTAAGAGTTAAAACCTTCAATCTAGACGGAAGAATTTACCTGTGTTGAAATGGTTTTTGAAATAATTCCTGTAATGCACTCTACGGTATTCTTATATGCATCATCCTCAGCCATACCATTTTCGGTGTACCTTCTAAATAGCGACTCCACAATGCCGTGAACAGCGCCCAGCAAAATGCCTATCCATGAAAAGAAAGTAAGACTCGGCCATAACCATAAACTCACTCAAAAAGAATCAAACACAAGAAATCATTCTCACCTCGTTCACCAAATATGTCACTCTTATACTCCTGCTCTAGAGTAGTCGCAAATGTAAAAGGCGAACCAAGAGCAACTGACCACCCAAGAGCGACATCTGTTGCCCTACCATCAATATCCTGCAAAAAAAAATAATGTAAGGTATCGTGTCTAATAGAAAATAAAAGTGCAGTGGCAAACACACAAGGGAAAAAAAACAAAACCTGATGAACTCCAAAGCTTGAATTAATTCCGGCACCATTGACTTCTTTTCCTTGCACATACAATCTCCTTACTGAAGGGCCCATTCCTTTCGGGCATACGGCGATAACACTAATGTTCTTAGGGAAGTCAAGACCCATTGACTGTAAATGACCAAGAAGGAAACCATGCGACAGCCCAAGTATGCTATTTGGCTTCATGTGTGAAAATACCTTCTCATAATTATCGGCCTGCAGTATATCATGTAATTCAGACCAAATATCATGTTGAGTACATCCTTATATCATAATTATTTGCTTCAACTTTGATGCTAAGACAAATATAAGACCCCTGCATAGTTACTATCTCTTAAAATGTAGCATTTTTAATCCAATCAGGGCTCTAAGTTGAAGTGTCACACAAAATTTATTCAACTTGTAGCCAAGCACACATCAAGGAAGCTGTTGAACGTGTAGATTAGCATTTAGAAGAAGCTACTCAATATAGTATCAGGTGCAGTCATGTAAAACATGTGGAGCTCGAGACACATACTGACCTGAGCTGCGTCTGAAATTAAGAGCAGAACCAGATCACTCCCTGCAACAGTCTCCCATATGTCTCCTAAGGTTCCATTCTCTTCAGTAAATCCAGCTGCACGGGCCTCGTTAAAGGAGCGAGAACCCTTCCTCAAACCAATCTACAAAAAAATATGTAAACAAATTCAATAAGCTTCATATAAGACAGACAGAAATGAAAGTAAAAACAAAGAAATGTACAATGCAAAGAGCTATATTTAAGTATTTAACACTTCACTCTTTCATCATTTTCTTAAGTATTATTACCTTAACAACGATATCAGATTTTGCTTCTACAAGAGAATCCCTCAAATTCTGTGCTTGTGCAGGTCCCTGTCAATATGCAACAATACAAGCAAAAACTACATATTACTGGGCAAAGGGTATAAATTAAACTTGAAAACAAGATAAAGCTAACACCTTTAAAGCATTATTCATTGCCCAACAACATACAAAGAGTGAAACTTAGTCCAATCACACATTTCAGAGCAAAATCAAAATGAAAGTAAAACCTTACCTGTGAACCCCAACCAATAACTCCGATCTGCTTGATACCCTTAAAAGCATCAGGCAACAGCTTAAACAAATCCCTCCCACCTCTCACAATATACTGCACATCACCAACCAAGCAAAACCACATTATAGTGAGCTCAAACGAACCCTCATTTCAACACTAAATCCACACAGAAATACCTCATCGTGGCCAGCCAGGGACACTTTCTCCTTCTTAAACACGGATGTCTCGAAATCGAGCAAAGCCGGGGACTTGGTGGCGATGGGAGCGGAGACCATGACGGACGCCATGGCGGAGCCGGTGGCCGTGCCAGAGGACTGAAGAATCCGAGCTCGGAGCGGCTTGAGCGAAGCGCTGGAAGTGGAAAGGAAGCCGAGAGTGTGCGGCAGGGCTCTGGTGGATGGCTTTAGGGTTTTGGAAGAGGCGGCGGAGGAAGTGATGGAGAAGGAAGTTGGCGCCGCCACCGACATTGGACCGTAAGCGATAAAACTCAAGGAGAGAAAGAAAGTGGTAAGTGTTAACAGAAGGGTTTCTGAATTGGGTGATGTTATCACTTTTATATACGGTGGTGATGAACAGTGAAGGATGAAGACGAGGTTTTGTAGGCAAGGGCCAAAGGGCTGTTTGGTTCAGAATAGTTGTGGAAATCAGAAAACGTGGTCTGCGTTTGTTTGGTATGCTACCTGTTTGATTAAATGTATTCCTCAAAATATTAATTTATTAAACACACAAAAATGAAATAAAATCTTGTACGATATGATGTAGAGTGAATTATTAATTTAGTCATGGTAGAAAATTATATATCCATATAGTATTATTTGTTGGTAAAAGTTGGATAATAAATCTAGATAAATTTGATCAAAATAATGTTAGACTCGTAACATTTTAGTACGGGATATCGAAGATCATGTTTTACTATAACTCATTCATTCTTTTTTATACTATTTTTGATGTGTTTGGTTCATGGATTTACACACTAAGAATGTGAATCAAAATCATAGTTAGTGTTTGGTTGACAATTTTTTAAAACACAACTATTGAATTTGATTACCCCTCCAATTAAAAACTTCATTCCCTAATTAAAAATGAGTATCATTTCATCTTATTGATAATTGTTGTAAGAATAATAGACAAAGAGATGAGAGGGAAGGTCCGATTCTCATTCATCGTTAGAATTCTTATACAAAGGTATCACCCAATATAAGGTAATAACAATACATATAAAAGGTAGTCACCTATCAATTACAACTTCTACCATATATATAATAATGTCCATATTAATATTTACAACACTCCCCCTTGGACATTATTTGACATGATCTGCCTTGTAAAAATTTGCTAGGAAAACCCTGTGGGAAAAACCTAGACAAAAAGTATAAATGTATATATATTCATGCCTCGTTAAAAACTTCACTAGGAAAACCACGTGGGAAAAACCTTGTTGAAGAAAAGAGTACATGATATTTGCAAGAACATATTTTGTATTGATTGCCTCATTAAAAACCTTAACTTAAGAAAACCCTGTGGGAAAAACTTAGTTAAGGAAAAAAGAGTACAACCACAACCTTCAGGGCACAATCGACATAATCTTCAGGATTTTGGGATTTGTCTACTTAAGCAATTATTTTGCAACTTTTCCCCATTTACATTACTATATCATACTCATGTCTCGTTAAAAACCTCACTAGAAAAACCCAGTGGGAAAAACTAGTTGAGCAAAAAGAGTGCATGATGTATGTGTATTCTTTTTAGATTAGCTGCCTCATTAAAAACCTTAGATTTAAAGAAAACCCCGTGGGGAAAACTTAACTAAGGAAAATAGTACAGTCGTTAGTCATCTAAGACCCAATCTTCAGGATTGATTCATGTAAAATGATACTCCCCCTCAAGATAACAATCTTTAATTCTCATACATAAAATTTTCAAACTGTATGGAGAAATTTTGTAAAATAAATATATACAACTGTCAATTGAATAAATATACTCTATAATAATCTCGTGACTCTTCTGGAGTTCACGTGGTATAATATTAATATCATAGTATCTAGTCAAAAGGATTTCATTATATATCCTTTTATTATTTGTGCAACACAATCTTTATTGACCCTTTATGAGACAATGGGGGTGAATATAGTACATCCAGTTTTGGGACTTGGCATTATGGGAATACAAAAATAATAGCCAGTACCCAAGTAGCCATTGTATATTTGTTTGTCTAAGTATCCAATCAAAGGCATATATTGGTTAACTGGTGTATAAAATTTCCTCAAGGAAAAACTCGATCTTCAAGTCGAGATAATACTTAGATTTTCCAAAATCATCAAGTTGTTTAGATATTTCATTGATGTTTACACTATCAATATTGACTGAGATAATAAATAATAAATAAGTTCATTATCAACCCTTTATCGAGCACACAATGGTACATATTATTCCTTCTATGAGGATATTAACTCCATTCGCAACCCTTTAAAGAGTAAATATAATGACACTTAAATTCTCATTTCGGGAATTATAAATCCATCAGGGATTTCTCAAAATAAATATTAACTATTTCAGGTCTTATAAAGACCTTAATATTTTAATGTGCGATTCACTTTTTCTCATTTTGAGAACTTAAAATCCTTCGGGGACTTTTGAATTTAATATTAGTTGCATATCTAATTTATTATTCTGCCAATGATGTAGCGAAACTTAATGCCATTTATCGTGGAAAAATATGTTTGATTAAAATCAATCAAGGGTATCTGCGTGAACCCATAAGACTACAAACTCGCTTTATATCATATCACCTCATTATTCTTATTTCTCTTTCGTGTACACACCCACTTGGAACCTTCGGGGTTAACTCTCAACGGTGTATTGTTATAAAGAGAATTATTAATAATTAGCGAGTCGAGCTATGCCTTAATTGCTCCTTTATACGTTAAATAGTCATGGCACTTCCGGTGCATAACTCTGGATCCAGATTATCATATAATGGAGCAATTTGTACAGGCTATTGTGTTGTCGACAACTATAATACTTTCATAAATCTCTCTCATATTTATAATTGTTTATGGCAATATTTAAGTCAACCAGATTCTAGACATTTCCCAGAACTTATTCAGATCATATCTGGTTGTCCCGCATCCCTAGTATTATGTTTGTTTGGTGCACCTATAGATTGACTAGGGTTTTTCATCATCTAGACGAACGTCTCCAAGACATAATTATTCAAGGTATATCAAGAGTGACAAAGTTTATTTACTAGATCTAGTATAATGATTTTTATCTCTTACACCGATAGATCTCCTACACTTCTAGCATCAAGGAGTATCGATAGATATATTTGGTCCAAATTGGGGATGGTATACGGACCTAGTCACTCTTTTATGATCAGTATGATCAATAGATATATTTGGCAAATTATTTGCTAATATTGCAAATATATCATCTTCTGAACTTTTAGTTCAGTCTAACTAGTACATGGATTAAATAATGAAGATATTTTTATTCTATGAAATTTCTTGGCATTTTATTAAATTTGAACTCTTATCTCCCCCTAATGCCGAGAAACAATCTTCATTAATTAAGTATGCAGTCAGCGTACCTAAGGATATTTATATTAGTATCCTATCATGTGCTCTTGGCATTAATTAATCAAGAGACTAAGGCTTCTTTGGTAGCCTTTTTTAGAGGTACGATGTGGTGGTGATATATTGAAATAGACTGCGTACTATAAATAATAACGCAGATAGGGAAATGTTTATTTTGAAACCATGTACTAGATATAACAATCCTTGAGGGATTAGTTTGTGATATGCAGTGAGTTAGATTTGGATTTCAAACAAAAGTATATCCCCAAAACAGATAATTCAATAATTTCTCCTTCACACATGCTCTATAAAATACTCATGTGGATAAAAAAAATTGTAATATCTAACTCATTATGTTTGCCCTTAGTGACCCAATTGGTCATTCCATAATTAAAAAAATTGGATCTCTAAAATGTAAAGATTATCGCAACACAATAAGTTCTCAAATGTATATAAAATTTACCACAAGTGGCATATAAAATCATATAGGGCAATCATACACATTGAACAAAATAAGTGAAACATTCGACAATCTTAGGGAGATTAAACGCCAAAAGAAGTATTAGATGTTGAAAATTATCAAATATTAACAATTTGTTTGCTTCAGGCAAACCAACATGATGTGACTCACTTTTGGCGGTTAAGCACATAGCATTTTTGCATAGTAGTATATCATTAAAAAAAAATAGAAGTTACAGACTTCATTCACGAGTCATGAGTCATTAGTCACTCAAAGAACTACTATTGGAGTACAATGTGACTATCATAAATGACATGCAAGATAATGAGTGACAGATAAATTAACGTTCTAAGTTTACCGTCTGGGCAAAACTATATTAAAAAAATTAGGTACTATCCTTTTGTTTAAATACTCAATACTCAAATTTGAGATTTATTTCAATGTCAAAAGACTCGTGTGAAACAATGCTATAATAAATTAGCGCAGCCAATAAGGTTGAATTTTGGACAAATAACAATTGACTTTTAAATCAATACCAAGTCAATTTTATATTTGGGGAATTTGTCCTAGTGCTATATTATATAATAATTATTGCTATGAATTCACCTTCCAGGCAAAACTATAGTCAATTATTCATGCTAGATATCACAAATTTTAGGCTCATATAATCTAATTGACATCACAAGATCAAAGTAAGGTTTATCAACAACAGGTGCAACCTAACAATGAAAAATCATATTGAGAATTCATGTTTTTGTCTCATTTATAAGTTGTGTGATATATCTCAATAGTTATGGCCTATAGCAAATAATTAATTGTCAACAAGAGAAATAATAAATTCTCTTATATGAGCCTAATCAATAGATTATATGCCAAATATTGTCAATTAAAGAGAAGCATATTCAATATGTGATATAATTGTCCTTTTATGTCTTGGACATCAAAATCTCAATTAAATCATGCACATCCATTTTAAATAAAGGGTATCATGTTTGATACACACAAGACATGACATGACAAGAGATATTCTATTAATTCATATATTAGAAAATAAAATGAGAGAAGTACCGTTCGCCGAAGAGTAACGAGCACATGTTCGCTGCTGGGCCCATTCATTCCTATTTCGGGGAGTCAAAAACAAGACTTTTCCAAGCAAGCTCTCATTTTATCTCATGGTTTCATACATGCATGAAAATATCACAAAATAGCAAGATATACAAGCTGAAAACAGCAGAAAATTTCAGAATTTTAACCTGGATTGCTGAATTTTCTGAGAAAAAATGGTAACACATTTTGACACAAAATTTTTCAGATATGTAGTTCAGCAAGTCTAGAACGTACATAAAAATTTTCATGTCAATCCAAGGTCTAGAAGTATTTTTTCCAAAAATTTCCCAACATTGCTCCAGGCAGAAAAATAACTGGCAGCATACTGCCAAAAACTTTACAGAATTTTCTGGGATAACTGGAGCATATTTTCAACAAAAGCTTTTTATAGATATTAAATGACACAAATTTAATACACAAGA